GGGAAGGGTGCTGAAGAGGTTGTGCTTAGGGGCGCGTAAGGTGTAAATATGCTCCTTGGTAGGATCTGAGGATAAAATAGGGAAAGAACAAGTTAAAAATTACTTATACAACTTAGATGTCTAAGTCAGCAGGGCCTGGTGAAATACATCCTAGAATACTCAGGGAGTTGACTGAAGAGATATCAGAGCCATTAGTGATTATCTTTGAAAACTCATGGAAGACAGGAGAGATTCCAGAGGACTGGAAGAGAGAAAATATATGCCCATCTATAAAAAGGGAAATAAGGACAACCTGGGGAATTACAGACCAGTCAACTTAACTTCAGTACCCAGAAAGATAATGGAGCAAATAATCAAGCAATCCATTTTGCAAACACCTAGAAGATAAGGTGATAAGTAACAGTCAGCATGAATTTGTCAGGTTTGACATGATTTGTTCTTGACTAATTCATGCTGCCTGTTACTTATCACCTTATTATCTTCTAGGTGTTTGCCCTGATAAGGCCTCCGCTGGAGTAGTGTGTCCAGTTCTGGACACAAAATTTCAGGAAAGATGCAGACAAATTGGAGAAAGTCCAGAGGAGAGCAAAAACATTAAAGTTCTAGAAAACATGACCTCCGAGGGAAGATTGAAAAAAACTGGGTTTGTTTAGTCTGGAGTAGAGAAGACCGAGGAGGGGACATAAGTTTTCAAGGATGTAAAAGGTTGTTATAAGGAGGAGGGAGAAACATTGTTCTCCTTAACCTCTGAGGACAGGACAAGAAGCAATGGGCTTAAATTGCAGCAAGGGAGCTTTAGGTTGGACACTAAGAAAAACTTCTTAACCGTAAGGTTAGTTAAGCACTGGAACAAATTGCCTAGAGAGATTGTGGAATCTCTGTCACTGGAGGTTTTTAAGAACAGATTAGAAAAATACCTGTCAGGAATCGCCAAGTTATTATGTTGCCCTGCCTTGAGTGCAGGGGACTGGACTAGATGACCTATTGAGGTTCCTTCCAATCCTACACTTCTCTGATATCTCATTGACTGGTAAGGTTACAGCCCTGAAGAATGGTCCTGGGAATCAGCTGCCCGTATCCAAGCATCTGACCTTGTGGATGCCTTTTCATAAAAACCACCGTACAAGCCTGGTTCAGCAGTTAGGGGTGCCCCTAAAGGGGGGAAGGTGATGCGAGGTCCTACAGGGAGAGGACTGGAACGTGGGTCTGCGGGATGGTTCACCCCTCCACGCTGCGACCCTGTGGCCAAGGTAGGGTTGCATGCATTACCACATAGACCCTGTAGAGACAAACACCACAGGAAGTACTGCCTCAGAAGGCTGGACTGACAGCTTCTCTTGTGGTCTCTCTTAGGTCCAGGCACTTTATTTAAGCCCAGGAGGAGTTCCAGGAAGTGTCCATTCAACAAGGTGGACTTCCTGCCAAGCATAGCAATGGACCTGCCTCTTGGCTTGCTCTCAGACTCCTTGTTTTTGATTCCAGCTCTGAACAGAAGCTGTTCCTGGCTTCTTACTGCCACTGCTTCAACTACTAGCCCTGACTGCCCAAGCTCCACTCGTATCAGTGCGGGGGGTGGGCTCACAGCACTGTTCCATTATGAGAAGGCCTGATTGCCAACTGCTTCTATGCTAACTCATGTCTCCTTTTTGGGTCTGTAAAAGCCCGCTCCTTACCTCTAATACTCACTGTAGCCTTTTGTAACCCACTGCACTGGGAGAGGCCATTGGTTTTCATGCTGTTTTGACCAAGAATGAGTGAAGAGAGTGGGTTAGGTTCCAGGCACAACTTTTACCTTCTCTACCTCCCCCTAGTGGTTAAAAGACTTTGCTCTCTCTGGGGATGGATTATGTGAAACACCCACACAACAGTCACTTATTTAAAACAAGATTTATTAGATAAAGAGAAGCACATCAAAATAAAAGAAATGATTCATATAATATACCGCATCCCTTAGCTTCATTAAAAGAGAAGAAAAGAAAATTGAACTTGGTCCTGAAAGCAGGTCTTATCTGTGACCCAACCCTGGTCAAAACTGAGAGCCTTGCATGGCTGATTCTGGAGAGATACTCCCCTCCTAACCCAGACCAGTTTTCTCCAGCTACAGACATACAATTTAGGGATTGGTGAACAGCTGCATTGTCTAGGGGATGCGCCAGTGAGGGTAAGAGGACACTTGCATGATGCTAATGGCGGTCTTTCAAATGCTTAACCACCAAACTCAAGTACAGCCTTGTGGAGTTTATTTGGTCTGGTTGTCTCCAGTTTATCCAGGCCTCTTACTGAAGGCTCCATCACTTTTCCATTGCTGCAAAGTATAAATTATTGATAGAACCCAGATGCTCCATCACAGTGATGAACTCAAAGACAGTCGAAACAGCCAAATTTTGACTTTTTTTGAACCAAAGCCATAAATCAGCCCCAATGTGCATGACAACTAGCCAAACTTCAACAACACATGCACAAGCCTTGGCAAATCCTGACCGAGTTTAGAAACAAAACCCTAATCCAGATTTGTTTTGCCTGGTTGAGAGTTTTATTACAAAACCAGCATACTGTTTTGATTGCCTTAAACAGAAATACAACATACAGAATGCAGTACAAGAAACAGTATTACTGAATGTCATGTCATTATTATATGGGAAAGGTTCTCTGTAAATACTCTGCATAAAGATTTCAGTATTAGTAAAATACAATCTACTTCTCTATGATAGAGTTAAACCTCTATCGCAGCAACATTTAATGAGGGTTTAATTACTGTACTTTTCAGAGACTATTCAGTTAGAGTATCTGAGTTTGCAGCAGATGGGGCTTTAAGAACTCTACTCCACATGCCACAGTTCTAGGAAAAGTCATAAAATGAAACTTGTTTGTAATTCGCCTTGGCCACTCCTGAAGGTCATTTGGAAATCACTAACACCAGGTCATCACTACCTGCTCTGCTTGCGCAGTAGATTGGGTAATAGCTGCCTGTATAGGCTTTCAGGCAAACAGACCTTGCCAGGTTGGCATTTTCTGAATTTTTATGGGCTGAGCTAAACAATCACTTCAAAAGGGTAAAAAAATAAATAAATAAAGCAAATGGACAAACATTTTGGTTTATTGGAGAGCGTCACAGAGACAGCTCTTGGAGTATAATATACACTGTTGGCTAATTTTGCTTGCCCATTAACAGCTACAGGTGGAGAAACTAAATAAAAAATTTATCAAACTGTATTGTTTAATAATTATATTTTAGTAGCATCCAGAGGTCCCAATCAGAACAGCAGAACCACTGTGCTAGGTAGGTACTGTACAAACACATACAAAGACCTGTCGAAAGGCCCAGGTCCTCAGAGATATCAATGGTGGTGGGGCCATACAGTTGACAATCCAAACTCCCAGTCCTGCAAACATGCCTGATTTATGCATGGAAGTGGTCCCATCAATTTTAATGGAATTACTCATGTGTGTCAACTTTTGTATGTGCGTAAGTGTTTGCAGGATCAACATCTATGGAGACAGCATGAATGTTGAGACTATTCAGAAAGTCAGGTATAGCTGAATATCCACCAGAAAATATTTGTCATGTCTGGAAATAGTGTGGAATGGAAAAGAGATTTGGAAAGTAAAACTTCTATTGAAATATCTTACCTGTATTGTGTTCAAAATCCTCTCAAATTTGTCTCCTGTCAAAGGTTGCCTGACCTATTATATAATATAAAATATACAGCTCTGAACAGTTATCTACTTATATTTTTAATGTAGTCCACATAGTTTTACAAGAAGGGATAAAACCAAGCAGAGCCTTCCTCACCACCTCTAAGGCTGAGATCTGAGAACAGTATTTGCTTAGATCGGCAACAACAGAAATCTAATAAGTACTATATCAGCAAAGCTCTTGCCCTGCTTACACACCAGTGGGGATCAAAGTCCAGTTTTACTGGATTAACTAAAACAAAATTAAGTATCAGCTGTCAAGTGAGCTGTCACAGGGTGGAAAACCAGCACCGTATAGCCTGGAGTACAAAATGTATCTAACAGGGTTTATTGCCATCCAACAATGCCAAAAATGCTTTTTAAACTAAATTTAAAAAATGTTTTGGGCAGCCATCTTTTAAAATAACTCAAAAGAGTTTCTTTCAGCCAAGGTTTTCCCTTGTGTATGTAGAGGGTCGGGTTGCTGTAACAGGCAAGGTTGAGAAAGTGAGATTCTGTAGATGGCATTTCTCACATAGGACCTAATCCAAATGTGTTTCAGAGCAGAAGTACATGAGACTAATAATAAAGGGGGTTGGATTCCTTAGCAGCTTGGCACCTATGACTAGATGTTGCTAAGCACACTGCTAGCCAGGGTAAGGAGAATCAAGGTGTGCTGTGCAGGGGACTGCACAGATGCATGACCAGAGACCATCGCATGCACCTTCCCCCAGCCTGAAAACCTTAGGGGGGGGGATGGGCAGGTATTGTGTCTATTTTTGCCTGGGTTGGGGGGCGCAATCAAAAATTGTAACTCGGGGGTGGGGTGTCAGCTCAAAAAGTTTAAAAACTGCTGCCTGAATACTCCAAAGATATAATTAATAAATACAAATGCATGTTGTATTTTCTCTGAACTCTTTAATCTTGAAGTAAAGACTTGTACCCAGATGTTACAAAGCTCTTACATTAGAAGTTCACTGGCTATTTAAAATAAAGAAAGGGTGACAACATGTAGTTATGTCTTTGAACAACCCTGAAAAATGAAAACCTATTTCTTTTATGTAACCACCGTTCCTTATGCATCAAAGTAAGCTGTTTAATTTGTTATTACCTGTGCACTGCTTATATTTTATTAGGGATGGACGTGAAGCTAATCCTTGAATCCAAACATGCCCAAAGTTTGGAGTGGTTCAGAACCATATCAGAACTCTGACTTGGAAATCTATATTTTATATACCAAGTATTTAGGTCTAGTATTTAAAATAATATTTCCTTCCTCCCTCACCCCAAATACACAACACTCACCATGCAAAACACACAAACAACTGCTTCTTTGTCACAACATAAAGGAGAATAATAGAATATGAAAAAGTTGTCTGGGACATTTTTAGCTTAAAATCTTTTCTTTATTGATTAGCACACACAATGTATTTGTGATTGTTTAAATCATGCAGATATTTGTCTTACAAACCATTTGACCTCATATATGGTTGCAAATGATTGAAAATTACTTATAGTTGGAAATGTCTACTTTGAGGTAAGAATTTAAAATAAATTCTACTGACCAAGAGTGAGCTAAGTATAGTGAACTAAGTTTTCAAGTTTTTGGGAAATAATATTAAAGATAACATTCTATACATACTGGCACATGGGATGCAGCCCATTCGCCTCATCTAAGGTTTGATCCTCTCTTTTGACACACAGTATGCAGATTTATAATATCTGTGGCTGTGTAAGTACAGGAGCTCATTTTCTATTTCACACTATTCTATCTGCACAGCAGAATGCAGGATTAAACTCTTTGAAAAAAATATATTTTCAAATAATTGCCATGGTTTAATCACGCAGCTGCCACTGAGAATAAAGAAAATTGCATAACTAAATCCCCATTGCACTACTTTAAAAATATAACACTTTTGGCCAAAATACAAAATATGAAGAGCTAAAGTTGAGGTACAAAACTGCATGCACAACTGCACATCTTCTTTTGTGTATTCAAGTGACTGCATAAACAAGTCTTGTGTTTGTGCACACAAATGTTATTTGGGCACCTAAATAACTGCTTACGCATGGAATTGTGTATCTGCATAGGTCTCGATTGAACATGGGTGTTTGAATGTGATCATCAAGCCATTTCTTTTGAAAATGTGGAGCTTGAGGTTTGTCCATTAGTTGCTATTACTCTCTACTATTTATGTTTAAAGTAAATTCTTTCCAACATGAGAATTACAACTGGAGCATGAGTGAGAAAAATATTAAATATGAGTGAGAACAATATTAAATATAATCAGGAAAGGCTGAGATTTGTTTTTCGTTTGTTACTAATCCATTCATAGTGAAGGTTAGAGGATAATTTACAGGAAAAATATTTATAGGTTAATTACATAAAATAATTATACTGCACCAACAAAACACTACAAACAGAATATTTTAAAATCATATTAGTGCATGTACACATGTCAACTTACAAAGAGAATACTTGAAAATCTATGTGCTAAGGGAAATAAACATATCTCAACCTACTGAGTTAAGTGTTCAAAAGGCTGTTTGTCACTGCAGCATAAATCATTTCCTTAGTGCAAGACTTACCAAGTGTGTAAAAAGACACTGACTCCCTGAAAAAACTGCTTTTCTGCCCTAAAAATATCTGAATAATAAAGTGATAGCTGTGTTTCTCAAGTAGCTTATTAGTTTTTGCTGAGTTTTGGAACATATCAATTTATACAAGCTTAGTTTTAAAACTCTAAAAACACTCTAAAATCTGATTCAAATATGCTATCATTGGAAGACAGAACAGAAATAAAAACAAAACTGATCTGTACAAGTGAAAGAAGATGTTGATTTGATTCCCTCCCTCTGCACCACTGGAAGCATCCTTGGATGACAGTTTGGCACAATACCTATCCCCAAAAGCTATATTGCACTGACAGGTGCAAGATTACTTTAGTTGTTGAAGAATCACAGTGTTAAGTATATCTGCTTCTTGTAGTGTCAGACTTTCATCTGTTAGCTCTTTATTTGGAAATGTAGTCACAAGAACAAAGTCAGCTGCTGCAAATGCAGGATGGGACTGGATAATAAAGTCTCGAATATCCATAATCCTGTTGGAATAAATATAATGGTATTATATAAACACTGAAAATTACTAATGATTTAATTTATACAGGAATCAGCTGCCAACACCAGTAAAGGTAAAAAATTTGAATACTGCAAATACAGCATGCACTCCCACATCCCAGGTGAGTGCCCTACGCACCAGGCATTGACTATTCTGGAGTGCATCTCTCTCCGGCTCTTTGCGACTACCTAAAATGTCACTGTTTTGTCCATATGCAGAATGGAAGTGTTTTTGAAACCTCAACAATTTTAACAGGACAGGAAATTTGTTTCCTGCTCAGCTCTATTCCCAACCTGCCAGCATCATCATTATTTTAATTGGACTGAGCTTCAGCCAACTTGCTCTCAACCAAATACTGGGAAAGGAGAGAGGTTGTACTATTAATGTCGGCTAAAATAAAGAGCCCTCGCATTGCTAGTCCCTCTGCTCACTGATTGCACCACAGCCAAAACTGTCTCACTCTGCCCATCATAGCTCTCACATACATGTAGAGCAGGAAATGTGACAACAGCGTAACATTGCCAAACTTGGAACAAATGCACCCTTAGAACGGATGAGTAATTGCCTAACACCACACATCAACCAGCCAAACAAAAGTGCTTCTCAAAGCTATATCCAAACTAAAAAGCCAGAATACGAGTATGTACGATGAAAGTTATATAAAGTTAAGTTACCAAATGCCTGAATCTGATCACCTCCAAAAGTGTTATTCTACATCTAGTGTTCCTCTACCCCAAACGTTCATAATTAATAAACTGCTTATACACTTTACCTGTTTTACCATCATTCTTGCCTTTTTATATGCCAGCTGCTATTTTAGTTCCTTTTCTATCTACTAGATACAAAACAATCTTACTGAAAGAAGCGTGGTTACTTGTATCTCTATGGCATTAGTTTACCTGTGTGTTTGATTGAATCTTTGTATCAAACGGCTTCCATCCGCTAGCCTAATCTGAATTTTAGTTGTTGCAATGGAGTCATCAATCAGAACAGTTGCATTAAGAATGGATTTATCCTCTTCTTCTGGGGAAGAAGGTGTACTGACAATTTCAGGTGTGAGGCTAAAGGATTGAAGTATAGGTGTTACTGAAAGAAAGCACAACTGAAAAGATGCATTCTAGAACATTTCTTATCTCTCTTTTCTATCTGAAACCAGTATCATGCACCGTATACTAATTGACTTGGAGTATTGAAAAGTGTCAAAATTGTTTGCATTAATATATGGATAAGATTTTATATATGTGCATTTTAGTTACACAAGAACATTTTCTCCATACATGAGATTTCTTGTACATTATTTTTTATATACAGGACTAATTCATGTAGGGATATAAATATTGTTTAAAAAGTTAACTGTTTAAACAATAAAAAATATTTCATTTAAATGGTTAACAGATTAAAGGGCCGGGGCTGGCGCAGGGATTAACGGTTAAGGTGGGTTAACCGGTAAGACTAATGTTTACAGGTTAACCGGTAAACATTTTACATCCCTAATTTAATGCACATCACTACTATAAAAGGGAAGGTTAATACAAATTGCATAATTTTATATATATGGAGAGAGGATCATAAAACAACATTTTTGTGTATGTTAATACTAGAGCACAAAACAACATGTGCACGATTTTAATTTTATTCATTGTACCTTATGGGCCATATTTGGAGATAATGTAAGTGGTTATGTAAATTATACATTGGCAGTTGGCCCTAAGTGCTTCAGCTTATGCTTTCATACACCCCGTTGACTGTGCCTGCTACAACCTTTCTCAGTCTCTTCACCCTCTCAGGATATTATTTATGCTGATTTACTGATATTTAATTTACACCACCATTTAAGTCACCTCTGAATTTGGCATTTTACACACAAGAATGCGGATTAGGATAGGGATTGGTAAATCTGTTGTAAAGATGGTGAAGGGAAGTGTTTTGGCTCTGGTTAGGTGTAGTCTAGAGTTTGATTTTGCGTTGGAGATTGCATCCTGGCCAGGATCTGAATCTGAGAGTGCTATAATCTCATGATAGAGAAGGGTGGAGTAGATAACATTAAAAAGAAAAAAAGCTTTCAGAAACTGTAATGTTTACAGCTTGGACTATTTTTCACACACCAAGCAGCTGTGCTTTAATGAATGCACTAATGCCAAATTTATCTGCTTTCTACTTCTTCCCTCTTGGTCATATAAGTCTGTATATAATTTAAACATTTATGTGATTTACATCACCTACATTTTTATTTGTTTTTAGTACTGATTTCTCTTTCCCTAGCCTCATATTCTAGGTTTGGTTAATTTACATTGCATACTCATTTGGAGTAAGGAATCATGCCCCATTTAATTTATGTGGAGATATACCTATCTAATAGAACTGGAAGGGACCCTGAAAGGTCATCGAGTCCAGACCCCTGCCTTCACTAGCAGGACCAAGTACTGATTTTTGCCCCAGATCCCTCCTCAAGAATTGAACTCACAACCCTGGGTTTTAGCAGGCCAATGCTCAAACCACTGAGCTATCCCTCCCCCCATTGTAAATGTAATAATGTAAATATTATTCAGCAATATGGTTATACTTAAAAGTTTAAAAATGGTGCTTCATTAAAGAAAACTTGGGAAAATGACCACTGTGTGACAAACAAGTTAGCCTTTTAATCACATACAAAATTCATTAGAGAGTATCTATTAGATTACCTTTTCCCACTGTTTACGGAGTTAAGACCTTAGGGGCCACAAAATCGGAAGTACATACAACTACATGCAGAAAAACAAACAATGCAATTGTGTGCCCAATTTCTATGCATAATTAATCAGTTTGCAAATGCCATCAAAATGTTTGTAAATGCAAATGGCCAAATCTGAATTCAACTGGCCCTTAGCAGCACATTTTCTTCATGTGTGCAACCCATCCATTTAGTGCTTGAGAAATTCCATGCTTTTTTAAAAAGGCACTAAACATATGAAGAAATGTAAATTTGCATACTACAAACTAAACTGTTTTGTATTAGAAATTAAGAGCTATTTATACATCCTTGAGTGATGAGATGCAAATTTTGTAAGACTGGAAACTAACATCATTAGAACATTAAAAAAAAAAAATATCTAAGGACAGCATAAAATCATTTTTTCTAATGTGGAGTATTCTACTACTTATATATAATATGTGTATCTACACACACACACACACGCACAAAATATGTAGGGAATACATAATGGTGTGGTACGAAAGGTTTTATCTGCATGAGTTTGGCATGGGCATATTGCTCAGAAGAGGTTAAGCCAAGAGTTCTAAAACATGCATGTCGTCCAGCGTTGAGAACTTTTATATCACAATGTGATACATTGTGCATGCGATTTTAAACATAATGATCCAGATTCTGAGCTTGTGTCAACTGGCATCACTGTTAAAAATCAACAGAACTATGCAGATTTACACAAGTTAAGAATTTGGCCTTGTAAGGCCCTTTCATATCCCTCCATCTGGAAAGCCAAATTCCTTTGTTACAATGAGTCCACAGTGTAAAGGGGTCAGAGGAAGCCAAAGATCATAAGCCACAGACCATCTGACAGTGACCTAAAATAGATTTTCAAGGGCAGGAAGAATGCTAGAAGCTGATAGTTTCTCCTTTCCAATGATATAAAACTGCTTCTAACTCTGCAGGGCTGAAAGATCACATTTTTTATGGAGAGAAAAGTTGTTACTGGCCTAGGACTAAATCTTGCCTCTCCAGGGCTTGGGCAGGTGTAATTTTGCAGGAAAGGAAGAGAAATCATTTGGCTGGAAGGTTAATATTTTAAAAAAATAAAAGCTATTTAAAGCTGAGTAAGGGTTTGTGATATAAGATTAAGTCCAGGGAGATGGAAGATAAGTGAGGGGAGCAGACACAGATTAAACAAATTTATAAAATAGTTCTGAAATGTATCACATGGAAACCACTTCCACATACATAACATATATGTACTATGCCCTCTACTTAGCAGGAAAGGAGAGCTAATGGATGACAACAAGAAGGCTGAGGTGTTTAATGCATAGTTTGCTTCAGTCTTCATTAAAGGTAAATTGTGATAAGATACTTTAAACAATATTAACTACAAGGGGAAGGAACACAAGCTAAAATAGGGAAAAAAACAGGTTAAAAAATATTTAGATATGCTAGATATATTCAAGTAAGCAGGGCCTGATGAAATTCACCTTAGGAACTAGCTGAAGCAATCTCAGAACCATTAGTGATTATTTTTGAGAACTCATGGAGGATCAGTGAGGTCCCAGAGGACTGAACAAGGGTAAATATAGTACCTATCTTTAAAAAGGGGAACAAAGACAATCTGGGGAATTATAGACCAGTCAGCCTAACTTCAATACCTGGAAAGATACTGGAACAAATTATTAAACAATCAATTTGTAAGCATGTAGAGGATAATAGGGTTATAAGAAATAGCCAATTGTCAAGAACAAATCATACCAAACCAACCTCATTTCCTCCCTTGACAGGGTTACTAGACAAATGGACAGGAGAAAAGCAGTAGATGTAATATATCTTGATTTTAGTAAGGCTTTTGACACAGTCCCACGTGACGTTCTCAAAAGCAAAAAGGGAAATGTAGTCTAGATAAAATTACCATAAGGTGGATGCAAAACTGATTGAAATACTGTATTGAAGGAGTAGTTATCAGTGGTTTACTCTCAAACTGGAGGGACATATCTAGTGTGGTCCACAGGGATTTATGATGGGTCCAGTACTAGTCAATATTTTTATTAATGACTTGAGAGTATGCTTACAAAATTTGCAGGTAACTCCAAGCTGGGAGTGGCTGCTTGCACTTTGGAGGACAGGATTAGAATTAAAAATGACCTTGACAAATTGAAGAATTGGTCTGAAATCACCAAGATGAAATTCAATAAAGACAAGTGCAAAGCACTACACTTAGGAAGGAAAAATCAAATGCGTATATACAGAATGGGGAATAACTGGCATGGCATTAGTACTGCTGAAAAGGATCTGGGGGTTATACTGGATCACAAACTGAATGAGTCAACAATGTGATGCAGTTGTGAAAAAAGCTAATATCATTCTGGGGTGTGTTAACAGGAATGTCATGTGTAAGACATGGGAGGTAATTCTCCTGCTCTACTCAGCACGGGTGAGGTCTCAGCTGGAGTACTGTATCCAGTTCTGGGGGCCTCACTTTAACAGAGATGTGGGCAAAATAGAGAGAGAGTCCAGAGGACAGCAACAAAAATGATAAAAGGTTTAGAAAACTGGACCTATGAGGAAAGGTTAATAAAACTGGCACTGTTTAGTCTTGAGAAACGAAGACTGAGGGGGGGTGGGACCTGAAAACAGTCTTCAAATATGTTAAGGGCTGTTATAAAGAGCATGGTGATCAATTGTTCTCCAGGTCCACTGAAGGTAGAACAAGAAGTAACAGACTTAATCTGCTGCAAGGGAGATTTAGGTTAGATATTATGAAAAGCTAATTAGAAGGATAGTTAAGTACTGGAATAGGTTACTGACACAGGTTGTGGAATCCCCATCATTGGAGGTTTTTAACAGGTTAGACAAACACCTGTTTGGTATAATTGGTTCTGCCTCAGCACAGGTCCCTTCCAGTCCTACATTTCTATGATTCTATAGCTAACCCAAGTAATAATTTTATACTTGTCTAATTTTAAGAAGTACCCACCCAATTCCCTTCAAACTTAACTTAATTTACCCATTGACAATATACAAAAATTTCACTTGACAGCATTTTAAGGAAATCTGTAATGTAGAAATAGGTGTTTATAATGGAATATTTCCTGGAGGTTTAATTAGATCACCTCTAGCACACCTCTTCCTTCACTCATGCTTCAGTACTAAGATGATGGAATGGACTGTGCATGCACAATCGAGATTCCTGCTATATATTACTGCCTAATAAAATGTGTTGAATCATATATAAACAACACATTATTTAGTGTAGGTTCTGTGGTCTTTAGAGACCAAAGTACAAGTAGCTTTTCTAACACCACACTGCAGGTCCATTTATTTCTCTTAAAAGTTTCACCTGCCTTGGGAAGAAAGTGGTGCACTGCAAAGAGGTTCTCTCTCCTCCTCTAGCACAGGACCAGCTATAATTTGGTACTAAATGAAGTAGCAGGGATTAGGAAGTGATGAAGAGCGTTAAGCGTTAGGTAATTTTCCCCTTCTATCTACAGATACACCTCTACCCAGATATAACGCAACCCAATACAAATTCAGATATAACACGGTAAAGCAGTGCTCTGGGGGGGGCGGGGCTGCGCACTCCGGCGGATCAAAGCAAGTTCGATATAACGCGGTTTCACCTATAACGCGGTAAGATTTTTTGGCTCCCGAGGACAGCATTATATCGGGGTAGAGGAGTATTTTTTCTGATCAAGATCGAATAAAACCTGAGTCCAAAATTGAACTCCATTTAAGTCAACGTGGTTACAACATGATAAATTTGTCCCATAATCCTTAACAAGTAGTGGAAGCTAGGAGAACTGGGGATGCAATGCAGGAGGAAAACAGATCTGAAATTCTTGGAAGAATAAAAATATCCTTCTGGTGCCAACAGCTGGTAAAACACAGAGCTTGAGACAGTCTTGATGAAAATTATGAAAGTATTTTCTAAAATGGAAGAAAAATCATTCTGGTTTAAGATATCTGAATGGCATGAAATGTGCAAAGATGCTGGGGACAGAGAAAGCGAGAGATAACATTACTCAAATTTGTCAGTAATCAGACATGGATTATAGCTTATACCAGCGGTGGGCAACCTGCGGCCCGTCAGGGTAATCCGCTGGTGGGCCACAAGACAGTTTGTTTACATTTGCACGGCCGCCCGCAGCAGTTTGCCATTTCTGGCCAATGGGAGCTGCGGGAGGTGGTGTGGGCCGCAGGAACGTGCTGGCTGCCGATTCTCGCAGCTCCCATCGGCCGGGAATGGCGAACCGCAGCCACTGGGAGCTGCAGACGGCTGTACAAATGTAAACAAACTGTCTGGGCGGCCCGCCAGCGGATTACCCTGACAGGCCGCACGCAGCCCATGGGCCGCAGGTTGCCCACCACTGGCTTATATTGAAAGCTCCAAATCAAAAACTCATGCAATTAATGAAATCCGCTTTTGACACTTACATCCCACACACCTTACCTGCAAATGAAAGGTTTTTCAGCAAATTCATTTGAATATGTCAGTTAAGTGCAAAGAAGGAAGACTTGGAGAGTGAGAAACTGAAGAGGAGTTTTGAATCAACAACATGTAGCTATTGCCTGTTGTAATTAAACAAATCTGCTTATGTGATCTTAGATCTGTTATATATTTATTTTATATTGTAATAAGATCTATTTTAACATAGTTAAAAATGAATTAAGCTATTTCCAAAAAGGCATCAGAATTGCCTTGCTGACAAAATTAATACACATTATATAACATGGTGAGCAGTTGTAACATTCTGTCATCAAGCTTTTATGTAACACAGATTCATAGGCTCCAGAGCAACCTTATAGACTTACTCAATAATGCCTAGCTTCCTACTGTATTTTCCACTGCATGCATCTGATGAAGTGGGTTTTAGCCCACGAAAGCTTATGCCCAAATCAATTTGTTAGTCTCTAAGTACTCCTTGTTCTTTCTTTTTTTTTTAAATGTATAAACTGTAATCCTTCAAGATCAGGGTTGAGGCATATTGGCAAGATGGCATGGGGAATCCTATACCGCGGCTCCCAGCATTCTACTCATTCAGACAATAAAAGAAGGGCTTCAATCTGCATGGCAATCAATCCATTACTTTTAATCAGCTACATTTCCTTAATAACGGAAGGACAGGTCTATGTATAAATTAATTTATCGAGTGTCAAGGTAAACTGATCTGGCAGATTGGAATGACATTCCACTATGAATGTCAAATTCCACTTCATCATACTCTAGAAACAGTAATAAAGCAGCAAGTTTAAATCTGAATAGAATAATCTTAACATATTGCTTATATTTTTTCCCAATGATTATAGGCAGAACTGATAGCACCACCCTTTGTTAATGTTGCCCCAAAATGTTCCATTATTAGGGTGACCATATATCCCGTTTTGGCTGGGACAGTCCCCTTTTTAAGCCCTATCCAGGATGTCCTGACATTTTTGGCAAAAAAGCGTGCATTTCTCACAAAAGCAAATAGGACAAATGCAGTTTTGCCAAAGCGGAGGAAAAGATTTTGGGGGGTGAGGGGGTGGGCAGAGGGAGTGACGACATCAGATGTCAGACCTTGGGCTGTCAGCCCCAGCCCTGGGTGGTGGGGCTAGGGTTGTCAGTCCTGTGCTGGGGGGAGGGGGAAAAGGCTGGGGTGAGCCCCACATGGGGGGTGGGGTGGGGAGGGTTGTATGTAGTGGTGGTGGAAGGCTCGCTATGTCAAACCTGGGCAGTGGGGCTCAGGCTTCAGCCCCAGCCCTGGGTGGCAGGGCTAGGTCTGTCAGCCCTACCCTGGGAGGGAAAGGCTAGGGCAAGCCCCACATGGGAGAGGGGGAGAGACGCTCTGGCTGTCAACCCCGGGCAGCGGGGCTCAGGCAAGCCCCATGTGGTGTCCTGTTTTCCCTTGGGAAATATGGTCACCCTATCCATTATAAGATCTTGTTTTTAGTTGCCTATAAAACTTAGCCAAATGTTAAGCATTCAGGCTGAAATGTTCTATGCTGGGTGTCCACTTCAGGCTGAATTTTTTGTAAAATTTTAGCAAAAATTGTTCAGCCACAAATGAGAATAAAGATAAGGGTAAAATATGTTGTTTTGCCAGTGTTAAAAAAAATATCTTATAACTATGGAAACTCCATGCTTTGAAGCAGGGACTTGAAATTTGGCAGGGGTATCACCCTGGTTTCAAGGATGCAGCTTGTGCTGTTCCCATGAAAAAACCCCCTACATTTGACCAATTTATCCAAAAATGAGTATGTGATTATGTAATTAAGCAGGGCTGCCAGAGATGGGAGGAGGGGGAAGGGGAAGGGGCAGTTTGCCCCAGGGCCCCTGTTTGAGAGGGCCCACAAAATGACAAAGGGACGGCCAAGCCAAATTTGAGTGAAGAGGGGTTGCAACATGGTGAACGGGATTGCAATGCCACTCAGGTTTGATGCCTGCCATCAATAATGCAGGGAGTGAATTGCCCATCTCAGCCAGGCCCAGAACCCACAGTCACCGTTGTTGGCATCATCATGCCAGGCTTGAGGCGCCCTACCATGCTGAGAGCCCAGACGAAGGAGTAAGGTCAGGGATACCACTCCCGCTAGTGGCAGGGCTAGAGTTCAGAGAGAGGCAAGACTGGCTACATGCAGAGAAGAGCATCCCTTCCTGTGGGGAAGGCAGCAACCACACAGGCCTGGGGCCTCGCTGACCCCTCTCCCCCATCCTCTCCCCTCCTCTTAAACTCTTTTATTTCCATGGTAATTTTTTTTTTTATTTGGATGGGGACATCAGTTTCAGATTTTGAACCTGACCCCCAAAACACTCTCTGCAGCCTTGAAGACTGTAAAATAAGGCATGCACACAATGGGACAGAATTACATTGCAAAGGCAACCTTAATTCTGGGATCGTCTAACTCTTAAGTTTTGACATATTTGACTTGTGATATTTTGGATGAATAAAAGTATTTGTTTTCACTACATTCTCTGACCAAGACTGATCAGTAAACATTTCTGGTATTAATTACTGTTAAGTGGAAAGTGCACTGAGTTACTTCTCCAGAAGTCTCTGATGACTCAATTAAAATCAGTGTCTGAAAGCACTATTTCAAATAGCATCATAGAAAACATTACAAAAATAAAATGCATCTTTTCCAGCCATCCTGAGCCCTACTCTTCTCTTCAATTGCAAATTACACATGCACATGACAGAAGAGAACATTCATTTGTTAAATTTATTTTTACCTTCCAAGCTTTTGTCCTTCTCCACTGAAAGCTTTGAATTTCAGTCTAGGCTTTTCATATTCCTGTTCTTGGTGGTCTTCCATATCCAAGTTAACTTGGCCACCATGCACCAACCGTTGAAGTTCCAAAGGAATCTCTCTTAAATGCAAAAAAATAAACCATTTTAGCTGTCTCCTTAAAGTACACAGTAGAAATCCCCAATTATAGTACAGTAAAACATTTCAGTATGGATCCTACAAGAGCCTAAACAATATTTTAATAAAGAGTGGAAACTAGTGCCCTATCTGTATCAAAATGCAGAGGAATCCAATTGCGCCTACTTCTTCTAGAAGCTAGAGTTAAAAATAAAGACTAATGGATGTATAAATGTAGTTCATTATTAAGTCACAAGTTGAAATCTAGGGTGCACTGATACAATGAATGAGGGTACAATCTTAATAGCCACATTTTGCAAATGATGTTCAAACAGATGAAGTTACTGGGGAGTTCTGTGTTTAAAAAAAAGTGAGATGGAATATTGCCCATACTTAGATATTTTTAATATTTTGGTTGAGAATTTAAAAAATAATCAAGAGGAACAGAATTTAGAAATAATGTCTAAAAATAGTTGCTAGAATGATAATATTATATTATAATTTTTCACTAATCAAACATTTTTAAAGTTTTCTCAAGTAATCTCTAATGCAGGGGCGGGGAACCTTTTTTCTATCAGGGGCCACTGACCCACAGAAAAAAAATCAGTCACGGACCACACACAGCCCCGCCGGGGGGGAGGGTAAGGGGGCGTGGAGGCTTGGGGCTTCCCCTACTCTCTGGGGTGGGGCCAGAAATGAGAGGTTCAGGGTGCAGCGGTGGGCTCTGGGCTGGGACAGGGGGTTGGGGTGCGGGTTCTGGCTGGGGATGCAGGCTCTGGGGTGGGGCTGGGGATGAGGAGTTTGGGGTGCAGGAGGGGGCTCAGGGCAGGGGAAGGGGGTTGGGGGTGCACGTGGGGTCAGAGGGAGTTAGGGTGCAGGAAGGGGGGTTTTGAACTGGGGCGGGGGTTGGGGTGCGGGTAGGGGCGCAGGCTCTGGGAGAGTTTGGGTGCAGGAGGGAGCTGAGACCTGGGGGTTGGGGTGCAGGGTCTGGGAGGGAGTTAAGGTGTGGCAGGGGGCTTGGGATGCAGGCTCTGACCGGGTGGCACTTACCTGAGGCGGCTCCTGGTCGGGTGTGCAGTGGGGCCAAGGCAGGCTCCCTGCAGGCCCTGGCCCCACGCTGCTCCTGGAAGCGGCCGGCATGTGTGGCCCCTAGGTGGAGGGGTGGCCGGGGGCTCTGCACAGAGCATGCTGCCCATGCCCGCAGGTGCCGCGCCCACAGCTCCCATTGGCTACGGTTCCCAGCCAATGGGAGTTGTGGAGCTGGTGCTGGGGGCAGCATGCGGAAATTCCCTGATCGCCACTCCACCCGGGAGCTGTGGGGGTGGGTGGGAGGAGAGGGCGCCGAGGCTCAGGGTTTCTGGCCCATGGGATGGAGATTTGCTACAGGCTGGATTAAATTAAGTAGCGGGCTGAATCTGGCTTGTGGGCCGGAGGTTCCCCACCCCTGCTCTAATGCAATATATTTTTTTTGCCTATCAATCACAGTCCTTAACAGGGATCATAATCCAATTCAGGTGAGGAAAAACGCCTTGAGAAGTAATCAACTGATTTGATTATTATATTGCAGTAGTACCCAGGGCCCTCAATTAGTAACATCGCCCCACTGTGCTAGGTGCTGTACAAATACATACAAAGACACAACCTCTACCCTGAAGATTTTACAGTCTCAGACAACAATCAATATGTAAAAGGTGGAGGGAAGAGGGATGCAATCTAATATATACATATATTCATATACAATAAGAGATATAAAAACTGCTTTGGATTGTTATTGAGCAGAACCCGTCATCAGCATGGACACATGTCCCCTGCAATGGTGGTTGAAGCATGAAGGGACATATGAATCTTTAGCGCAACTGGCACGTAAATATCTTGCAATGCTAGCTACAAAAGTGCCATGCAAATGCCTGTTCTCACTTTCTGGTGACATTGTAAATAAGAAGAAGGCAGCGTTATCTTCTGTAAATGTAAATAAACTTGTTTGTCTTAGCAATTGGCTAAACAAGAAGTAGGACTGAGAGGACTTGTAGACTTTAAAATTTTACATTGTTTTATTTTTGAATGCAGTTTTTTTGTACATAATTCTACATTTGTAAGTTCAACTTTTATGATAAAGAGATTGCACTACAGTACTTGTATTAGGTGAATTGAAAAATACTATTTCTTTTGATTTTTTACAGTGCAAATACTTGTAATTTAAAATAAATATAAAGCGAGCTGTGTACACTTTATATTCTGTGTTGTAATTGAAATCAATATATTTGAAAATGTAGAAAACCATCTAAAATATTTAAATAAATGGTATTCTATTATTAACAATGCGATTAAATCGCGTGATTAAAAAAAATTAATCGCTTGGCGGCCCTAATTAAAACATTATTTATGTTAAGGAATAAACACACCTGTTTTGCTCAACCCAGCATAATATGAATATTCAAAAAGAAGGAGGCATTTGTTGCAGTGAATAAGCCGTGAATTATTTTGAATCACAGTTGGCACTTCTGAGCCTAGTGCTGGAGGTGGCCATCATATTGAAGTATTATGTTATTTGTGGCACAGGCCAAGTGGAGACTCAATCTTAGCATTTGACTACACATCACAGGGTGTGTGATTTGTAAAGTGCTCTAACATGCTGCACTCTAACTCCTCCATGTAGACTCTGCTGGCATAGTCTAAAAGGAAATTAGTTCACATTAACATAGTCCGATAAGAATTAGGCACCTTTTAGAGTGAATCAGCAGGTCTCCAAGGAGTAGTTAGAGCATTTTATAAATCCCACCCTCTGGCACATTTTGCCGGTGCTATGTACATAGGCCCTAAGAGACTGAACTAATGTACAATTTGCTTTAATAATGTTTAACCGTCATAAAAATATGGTAAACATAATATTTTAATAATAAAACTTCAGATATTTTCTTCTGACTGTAAAAAGCATAGATGTGCACCTGTATTTTGATCCATTGCAAAGAGGTCCCTATGACAATATACAGTAACTTCTCACTTAAAGTCGTCCCGGTTAATGTTGTTTCATTGCTGATTAATTAGAGAACATGCTCGTTTAAAGTTGCGCAATGCTCCCTTATAACGTTGTTTGGCAGCTGCTTTATCCACTGCTTGCAGAAAGAGCATCCCGTTGGAGCGAGCTGGTGAGGGCTTGGAACCAGGGTGGACCGGCAGCTCCCCTATCAGCTCCCCTAAGTTTCCTGTGCAGCAGCCGCCCAGCAGGATATCAACTGCTGGGCAGTTCAGCTGTCCCTCCCTCCACTGCCATGTGCTACTCCTGCCCTCTGCTTTGGAGCTGCTCCCGGGAGCCTCCTGCTTGCTGTGCAGAGGGGGGTGGGGGAAGAGGGGGTGCTAATGTCAGGGTGTCCCCCACTTCCCCCGCTCCTGTACCTTATCTCCAGAGCGGGGGGGAGGGGGGGGACACACCAGGACGGAGGGAGCTTGCTGGCAGCAGCTGCTGTCTCAACTTGCTGATCTAATTAAAAAGGCAATGTACTTAAAGTGGGGTCAGCGTACTTAAAGGGGCAATGTGCGTCTCTCTCTCACACACAGTGTATGTCTCTGTCTCTCTCTGCCATGCTGTCTCCCCTCCCTCCATTCGTGCTGCCTTGGAGAGTGTGAGGCTACATTAACAACAATGTGTTAACCCTTGAGGGCTCAACTGAATGCTAGTTCATCATTTAGCAGTAAGGCATTCCCTGGGAAATATCCCACCCTCTGATTTCACCACCCCAACCATCATTGCTGTGTACAGTATTAAACTGTTTGTTTAAAACTTATACT